CTGGTGTAAATGGTAACCGCATAATTTCTGTTGAATTTTTGTTGAATTTCTGCTGAATTACAGAATTTTTGCTAAATTTACTGAATAATATGTCAAATTTAAATGGTAACTGCAGAATTTATTGAATTTGCTGAATTATGTTACCATTTAGTAACAAACCGATTTACATTTTTTTTTAAAACACATAATTGAATTGTAAAAAGCCAACTTGAATTGAAAAAAGCACGGTGGTTGATATATGCTAAAAAGTCAATTCGGTGGATTTGCCCAACTTCGACGAGTGTAGTCACGTGACGGTCACGTGATCATCCTGGGGTTATGGGTCGGTGATCGGTAGGGACGGTTTGGTAACGTATGATTTACTGTATTTATTTTTCCGAATGTTTTTCGATTTCTCGTATCAAAATCTTTGTCCCACCATTCATTTTCTTTTTTTTCGTAATATAAAAGGTAACGCCAGGATACATATATGCAAGCATGCTTTGACTTTCTTAAACATGATTTGGTGGGTCATGATAACTAATTATTACCAATCTTGTTTTCTAAACCGTAATTATAGTCAACTAAAAACCTGTTCGGAATCATGTCGTCAGCGATTAAAAATTAAACCTTTAATAAAAGCAAAAGAAATGATAAACATTGAAAAGGGTGACGCTGCGACCATTTTTAGAAGTGTTGCCGGTGTCATCGGTGCTGCTGATTTTTACAGCGACCATCAGAACGACCGTGCAGCTCATATTCATGGTTCTACTCTCCACATACTTGGGTGAGAAGTAACTTGCATACTTAATTGTCTTTGCTAATTTTTTTTATCGCTGGTTGCAAACGCAGCGATAAGGAAAAGAACACGCTATAAATGTTTTGTGTGAGGCATTGTAGCACTCACTCATTTTCAGATATCCCAAACTATCTAGAGGGCCTCCTAAACGTTTTCACTCTGTTTAACTTTCGGTGTTTGATACTTTACAGTAATTGTATTTTATCATTCATAACATATATTGCACAAACAATTTTCAATTCTCTACATAACATCATCCTTTTCCTCGATTCTTTTGTTCTTCGTTCCTTTTAACAAATAGAAAACTAGGACATCGGTTTCTAATATTAAGGAAGCAATATACTATGAATATAATTTGTTGGATCGTGAATGACATATTCATGGGTCATTGTATGGACATGTTTATAATGTCAWTTATGTGATTAAGTGTGAATGAGAAATGTGGTTTTGGGGTTCATACGGTTTGATGATCAAATCGGTTTGTGGATTCGGACTCGGTTTGGTAGAGTCGATTTAA